GGTATGGGGCCAACCCCACCTTAGGGTGGATGAGAGAGGACAGGGACTGGGTGGGGGTTGGCAGGAGACTCAGGACACCCAGGTGAGACCCAACCCATGTCTGCCACCACATTCCCCCTTGTTTCTTTCTTTCCTTGGTCCTGTAGAGAAAAATTCCTCTTTCATGCGGTCTTTGTCTGGCTCTGGGTATGGAGCAGTGACAGCAGGCAAGCACAAGGACAGGTGAGTCTGTGGCTCTCCAGGCTGCTCTGCTGTGCCTGGGACTGAGCTGCAAGGGTCTCTCTCTGGGATGACTGTCTAGGGACTCTGCAGAACTAGAGCAGTGTGCTGGCAGACAGGGTTGGAGCTGAGGAGGGAGGAGACTGAGGTTAGTATGTAGATGCTTGGTTACAGCATGGTCTGCTTCTCTCACCTTCAAAGCAAGGCCATTAAAAAGTTGCAGGTGTGTGTGTGTGAGGGGGGGGGGGAGTCTCAGCCTCTCTGGGAGGAAGTTGGGCTGGATGACATTTGACTTTCTGTTCTCCATTCTGGCTGGGGGACCTCTGAGTGAGGTACTTTCTGCCATAGGAAGAGCAGGTGCCTAGAGAGGCCCAGGGTTAGGTGGATAGCAGGGCCTTACCTTGGGGTGAGCCTAACTTCAGTTGACTGACTGGATATGAGAAAGGAGGCAGGGTAGCAAGATGGCAATTTTTTTTTTTAAAATAATAAAAGGAGATTGTTTTATGGGGAGAACAAAGAGGGTCCTATCTAGATGTGGTGGAGGAGGGGCCTGGGTCTGGCAATGGGTATACCCCTTACCCTCCCCAGTCATTGACATCTACCAAGGGGTGGTTGTTGTGCCCTGAGAGGGGCCCACTCTGCCTCCCCAGTTAGGCTCACTTGCTAGGTACACCAGCAGCTGCTGCAGCTCAGTTCAGAAAACCTGCAAAACCAGTTGGGACTTGAGCAGGTGGGACCTGCTCCCCCACTGCCCCTCCAAGGTCTAGGGGTTTGTCTACCTCACTGCCTTATGCACTCTCAGTATGTATGTTCCATCTGGGGCCCAGGGGAGAGCCTAGTGAAGACCAGTTCTGTGTTTCTGACTTCATGATTTTCTCCTCAGCCCTCCATTGGTGACCCCACCACAGTCACCCCCATCCTCGCAGCCTCCAGCTATGACTCAAGCCCCTCGCCAGGGAGAGCGTCGAAGGGAATTGGTGAGGTCGCAGACGCTGCCTCGTACCTCAGGGGCACAGGCTCGGAAGGCGTTGTTTGAGAAGTGGGAGCAGGATACAGCAAGCAAGTATGGATATTATATTCGCCTCCAAACTAGCTTGATGGGCTCCCAGAGCAGGCCCAGCCACAGTCATGGTCATGCAGGCATGGTGGAGCAAGGCTAGCTGGGCCCTGGCTATTTCCCACTGGGGTGTTCAGAAGATCAGATCTGTCATGCAGAGTTCAAGGTCAGGGCTGTTTCATAGGCCTGACTGAGGTTGAGGGGTTCCTTTTCTAGGGAGAAGAGGGCTGTGGGGCTTGGGACCAGGCCAGGCTAGTGAGAGATACTCCCCTCCATTTGCAGGTACCCCAGTCTTCTGCTCCTCCAGTGTTCCTAGGCCAACCTTGTACTTAAATTGTTGCTTCTTCATTTTCTGGGCATGACAGGGGAGGTCTAGCTGTGGGGCTGGTTTTGCTTGAGGATTGAAGAAATGACTCGGTGGACTCAAGGGCTCACCACTCACTCCTTATTAGAGATGAGGTCCTTAGACTACAGCCTCTAATGCAGATTTATTTAGTGTTCTAGATAGTGCACGGCATTGATGCCTTCAGAGTACATGTGGCTGCTCGTGCTTCTGTGATGATGCTCAACTCTAGGGAAAGAAAGAATCAGGTCCAGGAAGTGCCACTGCCCCAGCAACCTGCCCTTGGATGCTACCGAAGCCAAGAAGGAAGGCAGGGTGGAAGGGATTGGAAAGGGTGTTCAGGAAGAGGATGAGAGGTCCATGCCATTCACATGCTCTGTCTTAGGGTTACCCAGTGATCCCTGTTTCACGTGGGACTGTTCACGGGGGTCCTAGAATGCTGGGTGTGGTTAGGAGGCTGCATGGCTGGTGTGTGGCACTGTGCTGTGGACTCAGCTTGTAGCATGTGGGTTGAGTACTGACCAGAAAGTATAGGAATGTTCTCTCCATTGGCTCCCACAGCAGGCTTGCCCTCTCTCCACAGGGGCAAAGGTGAGACCAGGGCCAAATTAAAGAGGTCGCAGAGTTTCGGTGTGGCCAGTGCCAGCAGCATCAAGCAGATCCTGCTAGAGTGGTGCCGAAGCAAGACTGTGGGCTACCAGGTGAGTGGGCCAAGGCAAGCCAGGCTGGCGAGGGTTGGGAGCCAGGGAGCTCATGCCTTCTGAGTGGTACCCAAGCCACCCACAACATGTGCATAGAAATTCTGCCTGAGCAGACTGGTGCTGTGTACCTCAAGGGGTGAGGTCCAGCAGCAATGGTTTGTTGCTCAGTGAGTTAGGCCTGGAAAAATCTGCTCAGAGAGGTGAATTGGGTGCCAGGGGTGGGGGTTCCTGCTGACCTCCACTTTCTCTGCTTGCAGCATGTGGACCTGCAGAACTTCTCCTCTAGCTGGAGTGATGGAATGGCCTTCTGTGCCCTGGTGCACTCATTCTTCCCTGATGCCTTTGACTATAATGCCCTGAGCCCCACACAGCGGCAGAAGAACTTTGAACTGGCCTTTACCATGGCTGAGTAAGTATGGCAGGGGCCCCCGGCGTATTGAAGTTCCCACTGGCTGTTGGTCCCAGCCCAGACCCTGAGCACAGCTTCTGCCCTGGGTAAAGTCAGTGCACACAGGACAGTACTTTAAAGTAAGCTGAGGGACCGTGAGGCCATCCAGTCTGTCTGTCTTTCTCTTATATGAATGGGAAGACTGAGGCTGGTGAAGGATGTGCCCAGGGTCACATTTTACTTAGTGCTGAAGCTGTTCCTGCCTGCTTGCTGGGTGTTTAGCCTCTGCTCTACTGTTTGGGAAACCAGCCACAGACAGAGCCTGGGGGGCAGTGGGGTAGAAGCACTGTCGTCAGGGTCTCAGCAGAAAGCTGGGATTGCCTAGTATATTTTAAAAGTAGATTGTGTTTCCTGAAATACTGTCATAGGACGGACTGTGAAATTACCTCTGGCCTAAAGCTTGTTCTTTGTTGTTGTAACAGAACATTAGAGGCTAGGTGACTCATAAAGAGGTTTATTTTGGTACCTGGTTCTGTAGGCTGGACGTTGAGGATCATGGTGCTGGGGTCTGCTTGGCTTCTGATGAGGGTTGCATGCTGCTTCAATTCATGATGGAAAGCGGAAAGCCAGGTGTCACCTCTGCCAGAGAGGAGGGGACAAAGGGCACATGGCACTTTATAACAACCTCTTCTTGAGATAACTAACCAGCTCTGTGAGAACCACATTAATCCCTGCATAAGGGTGGATTCCTGATGATCTAAATCACTCCTAAGGGCCCACTGCCTTTCAACACCATCATAGCAGGGATCAGGCCTCGACGTGTTTGGGTGGGGGCAAGCCACATTCAAACCAGGACACTTGTCTTGTATGTCCCACTCATAGGGAGAGGATCGGGGGGAGGGAGTGCAGTTCTGGGATCAGGATGTGCCTGGAAAACCCGTTTGGGATCTGGTTTATGGCTAAGAGCAACCCTCAGATGTTGAGAGTTGTCAGGACCCTGTGGGATACAGGTGTGTATTCCAGCTGGGTAGGGCGTGTATTCCAGGTGAGCAGGGTGTGTATTACTTTTTTTTTATTGCTATGACAAAATATCTGATAAAAGCATCCAAGGAAAGAAGTGTTTTTGTTTTGTTTTGTTTTTGTTTTTTTAAAGAAGGTTTTAAAGGAACTTCTTTTTTAAAATTTTTATTTATTAAGTGGCTCACAGTTTGAGGGAAGCAAGGCAACCAGGAGTATGAGGCAGCTGATAACATTGTATCCACAGGCAGGAAGCAGAGAGAGAGAGCTGGTGCATTTTCTTCTTTTTACTTGATACTGGGACCCCAACCTATGAGGCTGAGCCACCCTCTTTCAGGATGGGTTTTCCCTTCTCATTTATACCTCTGTGGAAACACTCTCACAGACACACTCAAAGGGGTGTGCTGCCGTGGGGATTCTAAATCCAGTCAAGTTAACAGCAGGGAAGAACAGTCCCCGGGGTGTTTCTTATAAAGACTCTGAGGGTGTGGGCAGGAACACGAGACAGGGACAGGTGTGGCGGGGCAGGCCCCCTGCCAAAACCACACCACCCCCCCACCCCCCCTTCCAGTTTTGGGATTACAACCCCTTTTGGGCGAACACAAGCCATATGCAAACTCTGGCACCAGCCTTTTATGTATTACTCCTAGGGGTAAATTGGGGAAGAGTGCTACAAGCCTTGGGCCTGTTGGTGCTGAGGCTACCTGAGACAATCTAAGCTGTGGACATGAGGATGCATCCAGCTCAGTATGACCTGGCTGGGAGGAGCCTGCCCAGATAAACCTCTGACCTCATTGCCCCTCCTGTCTTTGCCCCAGGGCCTCTTGTTGGTTAACCCCAGTCAGAGGGCAAGAGGGTCAGGACAGTGTCACAGACTGCTGAGGCAGAGAGGAAAGGAAGGGCAGCTCCAAAGTTACTATTCATTATGCCTTTGTGCTGCATGTTGCAGCCTCTGAGGGACCATGTTTGTCCTGCCTGACTGAGCTTTCAGGTCCCCCATCTTTACTTGTCCTCAAGTGATGGGGTTGAAGGAGGCCCCACCCCAGGTTTTTCTTGCTATCTTCATCCTATTTCCAGCCCAAGCACCCAGTCCTGGTTCTTCACACTAGGACCTGAGCCTGGTTAGGGAAGGAGAAAGTGGAGACAAGAGGTCTCATAACCCATGTTTGGTATTGGAAGCCTGCTTGGAGCCACAGCCTATGTCCCTCTCTAGGGTAGAAGTGCTCACTCACTATACGGGCAGAATGGGAGCTCTGGCTTGGAGATCCTCAACCTGAGGCTTAGGGAAAGGGGTCCATGCTTGTTGTGTTGATTTGAATTCTAGGTCCCTTTGGGGTCAGGGGAACGCCTTGTGTACTTTCAAAGCCTTCCCTTTCTTGGCTGCTTGGGATTAGCTGTCATCCTAATAGCAGAAACAGCTTGGACGAGTGTGTTATGCAACTGGATCCAGACGATGGTGGACTCAAGCCAAGTGTCGCGGCATGATGTCGGGAGGGGTTGGTTCATAGGAAGAGGCCCAGCTGCCTGAAACTCAGGAATGGCGGCTGTCAAACATCAGACTAGAATGTGTGGGATCAGGGCTCCCACTTTGGTACCCCAAAACTTACCCCAGTCAGAGAGTCCAGGCTTGGCTTACAGAATTCTTGAAGCCTAGAAGTCTAAGCAATGTCAGCTTAAGCCCTGGTCACCTATAGCCCAGGATCCAACTGGCCTGTAGTTGGGAGAGGGATGGGCATTGTGGTGGTGGCCCTGTGCCCCTGGTTCTAAGGAGCACAGCTTCCCTAGGCAGTTAAGGCAGAATGCCTCCAGGAAGTGCTTTCCCAGCAGGAGGTTTTCGAGCCTAGAGTCTCCAGACTCCACACAGATGTTTCTTCTATTCTCAACCTGGGGGGAGGGTAGTGGCTGGGCCAAGCTTTGGCTCCCTTCTCTCCCCAAGCAAACAGCAGGATAGGACCTTGGCCCTGCTTCCCTGTGGCCTGAGTCTGCTCCCAGTTGGGGAAGAGATTCAGGGTATGATGGGGCCTCTAGGTGAGTTCTGTTTTTTGTTGTTGTTGTTATTGACTATAAAGAGTAGGGAGGGCCATCAGAGTCTGTGTGGGGAGCTTACTCAGAGCCCGGGCCGGTACCTCCCCTTATGAGTCATCTGTGAGATTATCTCTCAGGTACAAGGGAGAGAGGGCTGTGGAGGTGGGCTCTCTCCCCAGGGCCTGCTGGGAAGGCAGCTGCTTGGATCCCTGGTTTTTGGACAATAAATAACTGGCTAGAATAGCTTCATGGGACACCTGCCTGAGGATATTGGAGCCAATGTCAGCATCTTAGGTTAGCCAGCAACATCTGGGTGGATACATGGTACCTTTGAAAGTCATCAAGAGCCGCTAGTACAGAGGGTGGCCCAAAAAAACTGTTTTGGGAGCAGACAGCCTGAGCTGAGAGGAGCCTGGTGTCCAACCACGGCATGACCTTTAGAAGAGAAAGGACCTCATCATGTTTTCAAAGGATTCATCCAGGAAAGGAATGCTTCCAGATCCTTCCATGAGCAAGTATCTTCAGGGCACAAAATGCACCAGGAACCCTGGGAGTAAATGTGTATGCTGCCCCCCCCCGCCGTAATTTCTGGGCCCAGAGGTTCCTGTGTCCTCCTAATCTGTGTGAGTGATGCCTTGCTGACAGCAAAAGCGTCCCTTGCCTGACAGGTGTTTAGGGCCTGGAACAAGGGCAGAGTAGTTCCTTTTATGGAAGGGGCAAAGTAGGGCGGGTGCTTGACCCTTCTGCACCTTTCCTTCCCACCCTGCCCATAGCACAGGAAGCCGAAGGATCTCGAAGCCCAAGGCGTCCCACTTGCCCTGTGCGGAATGCGCCTGCTCTCCAGTTACACCCAGCAGAAGGGGCTTGAGCGCTATTTGTAGTCCATGTGTCTCTGTCTAAAACAAGATAGGAGGCAGCAGTCCCACCCCTGGTCTGCATTTAGGACAGTCTTAAAAATTACCCCCAGCCCCTCCTCCATGGCCCGAGGTAGCTGAAGATACAATAAAGAGTAAAAGAAACCCTTCAAAGTGCATATTAATAAGCCAGTGTCATCCTTGCTTCAGGCTGTGGGGATGATTTGAAATCATCCTTGCTTTGTGGACTTCTCCATGTAGTTTGGATTATTTAAAAGAAGCCTGGATCATTTTAACAAATCACTCTCTCTCTTTCTTTTTTTTAAATGTAAAGGCCAGTTGGGGCCTCTCTAATATTTTGAGTCTTGCATCTTTTGATAAAAGTCAGAGGTGACCATCACTATCTTGAGTTCTGTCTCCTGAGAGACAGATGGATGGACACACAATCAAGTGTCCCTGTGCTTTCCTATTTGGCAGTTCAGGGAGTATTGTTGCCATTGTAGCTGGCACCACAGTATCTCTGAAGGACCATGTTCTATCAGCAGGGACAAATTGGGGTGAAAGCAGAGTGTCTCTAAGGGTGTTGGACCTGGCAGCTGGAGAATTTGGGACTCCTCAGAGAAGGAAGTGAGTGAAGGGCAGAGGTGGTCCAGGAAAGAGTCCCGAGAGATGGTGTTGCATGCTGAGATTCTCTTAGAAAGTGCACCCACCCTCATCTGTTCAACTTAGAAACAACAGTGGAATGGCGTGGGGACTGGTCCTCTGCCTGCCTGCAGGAAAGACCAGCATTTTGTCAGTGACTTCCCATCAGGGCAGTAGAGGGTGACACCAGGGTGAGGCCTCCCCTTCTATCTTTGTGGCTGCCTTTATTTGGAAGACTTGCTTCCTGGGCAGGGCATGGGGGTGTTGGTTGGAGCGTGTTCGAAGCCCAAGAAGGAAGGAGGGGTTTGCTTGGTGTATTTTGCACAGGTCAGGAACATCTGGAACAAACAAGCAACTCTGAATAATCCCGAAGTGGGCTAGAGAGGAGTCAGAAGGCACTGAGTTTCCTCCATGCCCTGTGAGGGACAATGACACAGGTGCAGAGGTGAAGTCCTTCCAACATGTGAAGGACTTTTTAGTGGAAGGGGAAAGTTAGCCGAGAACAGTCTTTGGGAGTAAGAGGTAAAATGTACAAGGAAGCAAAGGAACATCCGTGCCTTAAGGGGCAAGTTCTGGTGGCTAAAGCTTGCTTCCTGCAGTAGGGGTCAGTCCAGTCCTGGGGGAGGGGGAACACATGGAGGGAGAACCTTTGTGGGGACAAGGCAGTGTGTGAGTTCTCCTCCAAAGCAGAGGTCCTGGGATTCTAGGGCTGTCTTCACTTAACATGAGAGATCATCAAAGTGATCACCACAGTGGCCACTGAAGCTATCACTGACAGTGATGACCCTATGGATGCATGCAGGGATGACCTGAATGCCCCTGCGAGTTTCTGCGCAGCAGACCTGAGAGAGAGAGTGTAGGAAGCTGGGGTTCTCCCTGCAACATGGGGGTGGAGCACCAGATGACAAGTGATAGCGGCTATGAAAGGTGAACTCAGGTCTCCAGCCTTTGAAGAACCCAAGAATTTCAATTCTTGGCCACAGAGCACCCTTGCATGCCTACCTCTCTGACACCAAGCCCAGCCTTTGTCTGTTTTTGGGAGAAAGGGTGCCAAACTCACTTGTCACCTCCATGTAACCTCTGGGTTCCCATACAAGCCACTCTCTGCAGCCCTAGGGGAAGGTGAGAGGCGGGAATGGGATCCGGGACAGATGTCTCCATTTCGCCTTGACATTTGGTCTCTGGCCAGCTTTCCAGAGCAGAGCCCAGTGGTGCTAATGTTACAGTCTTTGTCTGGGGGTCATGCAGCTCAGGGAGCTGTCCTGTAAAAGAATTGCATGAATTGTATTGAGCTGGCTGCAAGTTCTGGGCTGGGTCTGAGGATCCCCGGCTTGCCTGCTGGGGTCTCCCATCTGGCTGGGCTCTGGGTAGCAAGGTGCATAAAGACAATATGAAATCATAGCTTCCCAACAAGCCTGCTGGGAGTCGGGCGAAGCAGAGGTGCATTCTGACCAACTGCCCAGGAAATGGACACTGACAGGTGGAAGGTTTGTCAGCGTTGGCATCTGAGCTAGCAGTTTATAGTTCACATCCAGGCCTCTTTCTCCCATTATCTGCTCCACAGAGATGAGAGAGAGAGGAGGAGGGGATGCATATGAATGTATGGTTGTGTGTGCCCACGTGTGTGCATGCAGATGCCAGAGGTAGATAATGGTGTCTTCCTCTATTACTTTCTGCCTTAGTGACTTGAGACAGGGTCTCTCACTGAACTGCCAGCTCACTGTTTCAGCTAGGCTGGTTAGACAATGAACTCCTGGGATCTGCCTGTCTTTGCTCAGATGGGGTGTTGGGGATTTGAACTCAGGGCTTCATGCTTTCATAGAAAACTGTTAGCCACTGAGCCATCTCCCCAGGAACTATTCTTAATGGGTTTACATTTTTTAGTACTGATACGTTTTTTCTTTAATATATGTATTTTAGATTTATTTTTATTTATGTGCATGTATGTGTCTTTGTGTGTGCCTGCTCATATGTATGCAAGTGCCCAAAGACGAGGGCATCAGGTATCTTTAGTGTTTTTAGTATTTTTGATATAAGGTGTGTTGACACCTTGAATGCACAGTCTGTGGTTACAGAGGGTCAATAGCATTATGTGTTTGCTGAATCATGGTTAAAATCACCTTCCTCACTCTGGGTTGTGTGTGTGTGTGTGCGCGCGTGCGCGCGCGCGCATGTGTGCGTGTGTGCACGCATGTGTGTAGGCCAAAGGACAACTCTGTTATCATTCCTCAGGTGCCTGGAGCTCATCACGCAGGCTAGGCTGGCTGGCCAGGGAGCCCCAGGGATTTGCTTGTCTCTAACCTCCTCTCCCATCCCCCCTTCCAGTGTTGGGATTACAAGTGTGCACCACCATGCCTGGTCTTTTCTTTAAATGTGGGTTTTGGGGATTTCAGCAGGTCCTTGTGTTTGCAAGACAAGCACTGAAAGAGCTATCTCTCCAGCCCTGAGAGTCATGTGTTTTTTTTTTTTTTTTTTTTTTTTAAGACAGGGTCTCATTGTGTAACTCTGGATGGTCTAGAACTCACTATGTAGACCAGGCTGGTCTCATTCTTAGAAGAGATCCATCTGTGTCAGCCTTCCAAGTGCTAGGATTAAAGTTGTGGGCCACAATGCCTGGCTGGATCAAGGTTTTTGGTTTTTTTTAATTTTTTAAAATTATGTATAGATGTGTTTGTGTGTATGTCTGCATGTGGTTATGTGCCCATGAGTGCAGGTGCCCCAGGAGACCAGAAGCAGTCAGATACCCTGGAGTTACAGATGGTTGAGTCATTTGATGTGGGCACTGGGAATTGAGCTAAGGTTCTCTGGAAGAGCAGTAAATTTTCTTAACCTCTGAGCCATTTCTCTATTCCGGGGTCCCTGGGTCATTTTTTTTTTTTTTTGACTATTTCAGAGCTAGGCATGAAGGCACATGATCATGATCCCATCGTTTAGGAGGTTGAGACAGGAGGATCAGAGTTTTGGTCTAGGCTGGGCTACACAGCAAATTCCCATCTCAAAAAACCAAAACTAACTAAATTTTGCTTTGCTTTTACATTTGCTTTCACAGTTCTTGCCAATTTGCCCTGTGATACATGGGTAAGATCCTTCCTTCTATATGAACTGCTTAGGGGGTTTGTGGATATGGGCTTCTGGGAAATGAGGCGTGAACTCAGCAGCTCCCAAAGCTCTCTTGGAGTACTCATACTCTCTTTTGGTGTGCCCTTGAACCTCTCAGGCTCTTGGCAAATTCAGTTTGGGGACAGTGACAACTGCCCTGTTGTTGGGCTGGTTGTTCACTGGGACCGTGGTCTGATGCGTCTTCTATGTTTCAGGAATCTGGCCAACTGTGAGCGTCTCATTGAAGTGGAGGATATGATGGTGATGGGCCGCAAGCCGGACCCTATGTGTGTCTTCACCTACGTGCAGTCACTCTACAACCACCTGCGTCGCTTTGAGTGAAGCTGGAAGCCTGGAGAGGCCAGGAAGAAGACTGTGGGGTCATTCACTTCCCCCAGGCAGCATGACACCCCAGGGCTTCTGTGGTGTGAGCTGCTATTTGTTCTATGGCATGTGACCACTGCCTCTCACGCTCAGTTACTGATTAAAAGTATTGATGAGGCTAAGCTGAGCCCCACAGCCTCTCACAGCCAAGGGCTCGAAGGAAAAGGAAAAACTCTATAGAGTCAGAGAAATTGGTGCTAAGTGATGATCTTCCTACAGGGAATGTTAGTATTTTTCCCTTTGATGAATTTAATACATTGGCTTGACAGGGTTTCACTGATTATCAAGTTTTCTTCTTTTTTAATCAAAATACCCAGAGTTTTTTTTTTATTTCCTCCACTATTTTGGGTCCCCTTTCCCCCTCCGTCTGGGCCGTTGCTAGGAAACAGACTCAAGTTGTTGGGGAAGAACAGTTAATCACGCCCAGGTCTTGGGTAGCAGATGGCCTTCATGTCACCTCTCCTCTGTGGGGAAGTGACAAGGTTCCTGCCTAGGTCCAGAGGGGCTTCAGGGATTCCCAGGAGACCCCACAAGTGTTCTGTTAAGAGTAGGTTACCTGGGCAGTACCAGGGAGGAAATGTTAGATTCATCGCACTCACTGAGTTCCCATTTGCTCGAGGTATTTATAAGAAGAATTTCATATGTATCACCAGCCTGTTTGTACATAAAAGATGTGTCAACCTTCTCTTGGGTTTGTTATTTCTGTTGGGGAGATGGGAGGAGGGTTGGGCAATAAGAGACTGTATAGATTTAAACAAAGATCTACTGAAATCATACCTTAATTGTTTATGTGTTTAAAACCACTTACCTGGGAGGCTGAAAAATGACATTTTCTGTCTACCAATGTGCTTGTCCCTCAGCCATCTCTATGTTGTTGAAGGATTGTGAACAGAAAATTTACCCCCTGCAGATCTGTCCCTTAGATGTTGGCAAATAAAAAGTGGCCCAGGGTTGATGATGATTCTGAGTGATGGTTGTTTTTTTGTGTGTTTCTTTTGTTTTATTCTTACAATGTAAGGGGCTGGGGGCTGGGGCTGGAGGGTGGGAACCATAGGTCCTTGACAATGCAGGAAAGCTCTCACCACTGAGCCCCACCTCTTACACCTGGGGTGGTCCCTTTCATGGAAGCCCATCAAGGAGTGCTGGTTTCATTTCACAGATGTGTGGCAGTGGAATTTGAATAGAAAAACCATTAGATTCCATAACACTGCAGCCCTTAGCTTATTCTTCCCCAAGAGTGAAGAATCATTTTATACTTGAGTTGGATTTTAGCCACAAACTTTAAAACCTTCCTTGAAGGACCTAATACTGTTCCCTCATTTCTGCAACCCCCTCTAAGTGTCAGTATGCTTTTGTGGGGTCACCCCTGTGTTCCAGGTGTTGGGTATTTAGGACAGAATGTCCTCAGGACCCCTGGGGCTCTATGGCAGAACTTGTGGATGACTTGAATAGTATTTTCAGTGCATCTATTTGCTCAGGCTGCAGCCTTGGTCCATCCTTTGGGTTTTCCCACAGTGGGAACCATTCCCTTCCTGGCTCTCAGCATTTGTAGGCTTGGAGAGCCCTATTCTTAGCAGAGACACATTCTGGGGCATAGAGTTTCAAACTTAAAGCCAATGAGGGCACACTAGGGCTCTATAAACAGCATGCCTATATGTTGCTGAGTACTCACACATGGCAAACCAAGCGCTCCTGAGTGGCAGACATGGCCTTGTACCTTTGCACATAAAATAACAGCAGGTCTTATTGGGACTGCTTCTCAGGAATGGTGTCCCTATACCCCACCTTCAGAATATTACAGACTAGATATATTTAGGCTTGGTTCCATGATGATCTTCTTTACAGTTTGTGTGTAAAGGATTATAAAATAATGTTTTGGGTCTGGTATGGTGGTGCACACTTGTAATCCCAACACTCAGGAGATAGAGAAAGGGGATTCTGAGTTTCAGTCCAGCTTGTGCTACATATTAAGACCGTGTCTCAGAGAAGCAGTGGGTATTTTTTGTTGTTTTTCAAGACAGGGTTTTTCTGAGTAGTTCTGGCTGTGCTGGAACTTGCTTTGTAAACCAGATGGGCCTAGGACTCACAGAGATCCTCCTGTCTCTGCCTCCCAAGTGCTGGGATTGAAGGGTGTGTCAACACCGCCTTCTCCCTGGAGAGGGAGATTTTAAAGTTGATTACATCAAAGACAAAGCATGAAGCTTCAAGGCATGGAGGGAAATGGAAAAAATCCTCTCAACCTTAAGACATTCTGAGATTTCTGTCTTTTAAAACTGTTTATGTCGTGTGTTGAGTATATTCCTCCCTTCCTCTTTTTACCCCCACCCCTTTCCATCGATTCCCTAGGCAGCTTCACTTCTACCTTCATTTAGTATGTACACACATGGTTTTATGTGACTAAGTAAAATCCAGTAACCACACTCGAGAGAAAACATGACACTTGAGACAGGCATCTTCAATTCTCTATTTGTGGAGACTGATGCCTGGTTGCCTTTTCCTGTGGTGACACAGGGCTTTGCATCCTTTTTCCTTTCCTGAATGATTTCCTGGAGCTGTTCACTAGAGTCATCTGTTTGTTTTTTTTTTTTTTCTTCAGATAGAGCCCTCACCTGGATTTTGTTAAAGCTTATTAAATCTGATCAAATAGTCTTATGTGTTTCCCTGGCGGGACCATTTCTCCAAAGCCAAGATGGGGTTTCAGTTTTCTGTCAGCTGCTAGTGTTTTTCCATTGCAAGTGGGAGCCTATAAGCGCTTTCTGGATATGATATAGCATGCTCTGGTCAGAGGAGACCACGTAGGCCAGGTGTGTGGGGAACAGTTTGTTAAAGCCAACGAGTTTCGCAAATGTGTTCGATGATGAAAAGTTCTCGGCTTTCCCATTGGTGTGGTCAGACTCTGTAACTTCTGTAACCGGAGGAGACCAGTGTGAGAGAACATTTTATTTCTGCCATGATGATCTGTTGATGTGTCTGCAATCAGCTTGATAGAAAGGTGAAAGTGTTGACTTGGTCGGTCTGTTCAGGATGGTGCATCTACTGATGGTGTAGAGCCCACTGTAGTTTGGGTTTCTCCAGTTGGTGACAATCTGTTTTTGTCCTGGTGACATCACACTCATTTGGGCTGCACCTTGATTCCCACTTTCCCCTTCCCAGCTGTACTCTCATATCTTTGAGGTCAATATCTGCCTGGATGTGTCCGATATGGTCATTTCTGATCTTTCTTGCTTTTAATGTTAGGTTTGGACTTGCCTTTGGAGCCTTTGATCGCTTATCTCTTGCTGTTTGGACACCAAATGGCCCTTGTCCTTCTTTGAAAGAGCATGCTAAAAATCCTAAGGCTCACCTTCTCCCTGGAAAGCTCCAGTTGGGGAAGAGCATCTGGGAAGATGGAATCTAAGGGTGCTCCGATCTGTGTTCCCCAGGGCATCTGAGGGGAGGTCCAAGCAGATAGAGTGGGGACTAGGGGGGCCAGTGCTGTGGTCCACAGCACCAGAGACAAGTCAGACATCACTGCCTTGGTGTCCATGCTGGAATCTTGGAGATTCCTTGTCACCTGAGTATCTTGGTCCTGCTGCCAAGGCTGTTCATATTCTCTCTTCCCTCCTCTAAGGCAACCTAGCTTTGTACTACCACATAGGTAGAGGTAAAATCTAGTTCTCACAAACCCCATAGTTTTGTACATTTCTCTCTCTCTGATTCATCTTTTTTAAAAATCGTATCTATGTGTGTTTTGGGAGAGTGGTCAGAGGACGACCATGGGAGTTCTCTTCTTCCAGTGTGGGTCCCAGGAATCAAACTCAGGCTTGCAGCAAGCATCTCTATCCACTGAGCTGTCTTGCTGCCCCCTCCCCAGGCTTGTGCTTCTCTTAGGTCAAGGGTTTATAACTCATTCTTCATGTGAACTTTGGGGAGTTTGTTAATGCCTAAATTGAATATTTTATCTCCTCCTCTCCACCATCGTACCTAAATCCTGGCTTCCTCCAGGGGTCATCATTTCAGCCAGTGGCAGCAACATTACTGCCTGGGTGTCCATGATGGGACCTTGCAGGTTCCTTGTCACCTGGGCATCTTGGTCCTGCTCCCAAGACAGTTTGCCTCTATGCACTGTGCACTGTGTTTGCCTCTGTGCACTGTGACATGGGCTTCTGAAGTCCTGAAGCATCCAAGCCAACTGCATTTTTCAAGACTTCATTGTGACATTTGTGATTTACAGAACTGTTGAATCATGTCGCAAACATCTCTGTCTTATAGTTCACATTCTGCTGATTTGTGTTCTGTTTCTCAATATACAGCTGTCTTGTCAGCTTTTACTGAGCTATTTGGAAGTAAAATACAGACATCATGAAATTCACCTCTGGGTGTGTTGGCAAAGATACTCAGTGTTGTCTGGGATGGAGATACAGCTCAACGATACAATGCTTGCCTTGCAAGTACAAGGCCCTGGCTTTAATCCCTAGCAACACACACACACAACACACACACACTCACACACACACACACACACACACACACACACACACACACCTCATGCAAGCAGTGTATCCTTGTATTTAAGAAACTGAACATCTGTTCTTTTTTTTAAAACCAAGGTTTTTTTATAAACAGTTTAATTTCTAGTTATGTGTATATGTATGTGGGACTATGCATATGTCTATAGTGCCTCTGGAGGCTGGAAGAGGATGTCGGATCCCTTGATTGTAAGCCACCTGATGTGGGTGCTGGTATCTGAACTCAGGTCCTCTGATGGAATAGCCCCAAACATCCTTTAAATTTTTAAATATAAAAAAATTAAAAATCTTTAAATTAAAAAAAACCTGTATGTTATGTATATGGGTGTTTTTTTGTTTGTTTGCTTGCTTGTTTTGTGTGTGTGTTTACCTCATGCATGTATTGTCCAGGGAGGGCAGAAGAGGGTATTGCCCCCCCTGGGACTGGAGTTACAGATGCTATCAGCCACC